AGGAGCTGACGACCAAACAAGGAGGTCGCTGTAGTCCCGTCCCGGGACTATCCAGCAGCCCGTCTGGTTCCCCTCTTCACGGTAAGCATTGGCTTTTCCTTTTCAATTGTCTGGCAGGAATTGAAAACAAAACTGCCTTTTTACAAATCTGTGATGGGTCCACATTTGGAATACAGTGGTACCTCGGGTTACAGATGCTTCAGGTTACAGACGCTTCAGGTTACAGACTCCGTTAACCCAGAAATAGTACCTCGGGTTAAGAACTTTGCTTCAGGATGAGAACAGAAATCTTGCGGCGGCAGTGAGAGGCCCCATTAGCTAAAGTGGTACCTCAGGTTAAGAACAGTTTCAGGTTAAGAACGGACCTCCAGAACAAATTAAGTTCTTAAGCCGAGGTACCACTGTACTGTGTACAGTTCTTGGTTGCCTCACTTCAAAAAGGATACTGTACAGTTGGAAGAGGTTCAGAAAAGGGCAACCAAAAGTATCCAAGGGATGGAATTTCTCCCTTATTAGGGGAGGTTGAAGCATTTTTAATTCAGAGAAAAGGTAAGTTAGGGATAATATGATAAAATGTCATAAAATTGTACATAGCATGGAGACAGTGTGTAGAGAAGAGTTTTTCTCCCTCTCTCATAATACTAGAATTTGTGGATGCCCAATGAAGCTGAAAGATTGTGCACAAGAACACTCTCCCCTCCTGTGGTTTCCAGCAACTGGTATTCAGAAGCATAACTCCCTCTGAACAAGGAGGCAGAGCCTAGCCATCATGTCCGGTGGCCATCACTGCCTCCAGTGGGAACAAGTTCCATAGTTTAAGTATGCAATGTGTGAAGAAGTACCAGTTGCTGGAAACCACAGGAGGGGAGAGTGTTCTTGTGCTTGGGGCCTTCTTGCAGGTTTCTCACAGACATCTGGCTGGCCATTGTGAAAGCAGGATGCTGGACCAGGTGGACCATTGGCGTGCTATAGCAGGGCTCTCCTTATGTTCTAATGTTAGAAAGAGAACTGAGTACCTTCCAGATGTTGTTAGACCCCAACTGTCTGACCATTTACCATGTTGGTCGGGGCTGATGGGAGTTGAGGTAGCCACAGGCTTCCACCCCCTGTGCTACAGCAAGGGATGCAGAAGATAGATCAGGAAAGATGGGTGCTTTTCATATGCAGGTTAAAAATAATTTAAAAGGTTTTAGAGCTTGAGCATCTCATGTTTTATTTCATAGACCTCCCAAGGTGTTCTGCTCTGTGTTTCAATTGGTTTTTTTTAACCTGGCAATCATATTGTTGGTTGGTCAAGGGTAGGCGGAGAGCAACATTTGGACATTCTGAAGACAAATATTTATTGTTTTGTGAGGAAATGTGAAAGCCAGCTCAAGATGAAAGATGAGCTGAAATGAAAAGTTGGGTTTGTTGTCATTGTCGCTGATCTCTTTCACAGTAGTGTAGTTGGAGAGCAGTTGTTCCAAGAGGAAAGTTGTTTCCACAGAGCCTTTGCCTAATGCAGCTCCTAACTCTAGGGCAGGAAGCCTGTGGACCTCCGGAAGCTGCTATTCATAGTCCAACACTCTCTGTGAGAACAGGATGCTGGGCCACTGGTCTGATCCAGAATGTCTCTTCTGATGTTCTCAGGAGGTCTAGTTGGTTGACCTTAATGCTCTACTATTTATGAAGCATCTTGAAGCAATTTCACAGTACAGTAAACACACATATAAAACCATTGCGTATATAAAAACGGTTTCAAATTCAATGCGATACCAAATGGGATAAGGATCTCCACTTAGAAGGCTTTTTGGAAGAGGAAAGCCTTCAAAAGATGCCAAAAAGGCAATAGAGACGGCGCCTGCCTGTTATGTCAAGGGAGGGATGTTCCAGTGAAAAGGTTCAATCCTCGGTATCTCCACATATGGCTGGGAAAGACTCCTTGCTCCAAAACCCTGGAGAGCCACTGCCTATCAGTGTAGGCAAAGCTGAGCTAGATGGACCTGCAATATGACTTCATATAAGGCAGCTTCCTAGGTTATTTCTTGTGTGATTAAGAGTAGGCCTTGGTTGTTGAGTCATTGGCCATGCTAAGGCATCCATTTTTCTGATTATTTCCTCATCTTGGCAAGGTGGCCAGTGAGGTCTGTGCCACCCAGCTTCTCCTGAGATAGAACATTACTTTGCTCCTTGCATTACAATGCAGCGGTCGAGTGTGGCATGCTTGGAACAGACACCAGATTGCTGTAAACCATTATTATAACACATCCAATCATTTTTAACTACTGACATCATATAGAGAACAGGAAGGAGCGATCAACGTCTGCAGCTTTCATCCATTGGTGTCTGCTTTTTGTCAAGGGGGAAACTACAGTAAGTTGTCGCCTTTATAGGTTTTCCAAACACGTTTGAAGCTCTTTCTTTGTAAATAGAAAGGAGTGTTTGATGCTCAAGAAGCATCTGAGAGGTTTCATTTGGTTTTGATTAGCGGCATGACCAAAAATTTCAGGAGTGGGCGGATGGGATTTTGTTCCTTCCCCAAACCTAGTGGAAGCGTTGAAGGATTATTATTTTTTTAAGTGTGGGGGTCTTTTAAAGTGACAAGTCAAAACGAAACACCTTGATTTTTGGAGGGTATCGCAGTTCATCGTAGTTGAGGAAAATAGCTTATTTATTAAAGCCGTGAGTCCTCATCACCTCCAGCCACCTCCAGTTCATGCCATTTGATGGTGCCTATCCTTGTGGCTGTGTTCCACCTCCCCTGTGGGAGGAAGCCTGCCTCCGAAATGCCAACTGCTGGGATTCATGAGTGAGGCGAGTGCTCTTGCATGAGGTCCTGCTTGTGAGCTTACCATTGGAGCAGGGGTTCCCAAACTGGTCCGCAGACCACCGCAAACTTCGCCAAGGTGGTCTGTGATGTAAAAATACACTTTAAAAACGTGCAGCATCTAGCACAATTACAATTGCTGCAACAGAAAAAACACACGAAATGATCTGTCGGGAACCTCAGCAAGTTTCAAGTTGTCCTTGGGCGGGAGGAGAGTTAGGGCATTAGGACATCTGGTTGGCCACTGTGAGAACTGTCCATTTGTTTTTACTCACCGCTTCCTGTTCTGTTATCAGTTACTGATCCATAAGAGGACCTCTTCTCTTTCCCCATGATTGGGAGAAACAGAAACTGAGTGAGATGAGAAGTGTCCGTTTAGTATAGATCAGAAAACCCCTAGGTCCAAAGGATATGAGATACCAGGGACAAGCAATGGTCCTGGTCTTCCTACTTAGATTGGGCTAGCTGTTTTTAGAAACAGGATGCCGGACTAAGTGGGCCTAGACTTTGCTCTGATCCAGCAAGGAAGTCCCCATGTTCTTATTACTCATGATCATTAGGAATCAAATCTCCTTGTTCTGACGCTGTCTACCTTTGACTGCCAGCCCCTGGGGATGGAGCACAGACCACCGTCTTCCTGCCCTGCTCATGGGCTTCCTGGAGCCATCTGGCTGGTCATGGTGGGAAACAGGATGCTTGGGCTTGATGGGACTTTGGCAGGGATTATTTTATGAGCTTCAGCTGCTGCAAATGTCCCGTTTGCATTGGGCCTCTGTCAGCACTTAACATCTCCCCTAGCGTGTAGTTTGCCACCCTTCCACTACCACCCTTCAAGACATGTGAACCTCATCCATAGGGCAGAAGCAGCCCATGTGGTTTTCTCCAGATGCTGGCTAGGACTGCTGGGAGTTGGAGTCCAGCAACACCTGGAAGGCACCCGGCTGGTTCCTCTTGCTTTGCGAGGAAGGGTGGCAAACGTTTTTCAGACGAAAGGCCATATTCCTGGTGGGCCACATACTAGTGGTGGCTGGGGGAATGGGTGGAACAACAAATGTGGACTGTACCTTTATACAATAGGTTTGTTGCTGCACACCCTTGCTCTATTCTCCATCTAGGCAAGTGAGTCCAGGTAGGCAACAACACTCAAGGATGCCGCAAATTGGCCTGGCAAGGGGTGTAGCCTGGGAGAGTTCCCAGGGAGGGCTCAGTTAGCCCTTGGCCCTGATATTCCCCACCCTTGCTCTAGGACACGGAAGAAACATGCCCACCCAAAATGGTTTTTTATCCTTCCTTCTGACTTTTATCTTTCAAATGCATTTGGCGCAGCAGAGAAGAAAATCTATTTATGGTTTATTCTGGTCCCAAATTGTTTACTTGTGCAATGTAAACCTTTTTATCAGAGTGGGGAGCCATCCTCACAGGGAATGACTCACTCTTGGCTCCTGCCAGGTTTGCTGTCTTTGAGCAGGAAGGCAGGAAGGGAAATGGTTAAGAAGCATCAGACAAGGGGATAATTTCCTTTGCACCTGTTATACAGTTTCTCTTATGTTGCTTAGGTCATTTTATCTGCCAGCCCCGCCCTGTTGTACATTTTTGGTCCTTTAGTAGAGCTGCCAAGCTTGTTTCCCCAGTGACCTCAGTCCCAAGTTGAGCTTCTTTCTATGGGGTTTCGCTGTTTCCTGGAACGACGTTGTGCTGCCGAGTTACATCAGAGGACGAACAAAATTAGGTTGCCTTTGCCTAAATTCCCATCTTTAGCAATGACCTTTCAGTTTCAGTTTCAGTTTCAGTTTCCAAGCAGTGAGGTGACAGTGAACTGGCATGACAAACGGGCATTTTTATGGGGTTTGATGTTTTGCCCCCTTGAAAAATTGATGAGAGGATGACATACCATTATCACTCCCAGAATGCAGACATGATGAATAATTGGTTGCAATTTTATTTTCCCATTTTTTAGTTTTGTTGTCCCACAACCTTTAAAATGGAGGGTGGGATATATGTGGTCTAAAATGAAATCTTTCTTTCTTTCTTTCTTTCTTTCTTTCTTTCTTTCTTTCTTTCTCCAAAATCATAGAATCATAGCAAATTACCCTGTTCTGACTCAGGCCACTGGTCCAGCTTGCTCAGTATTATCTACACTGATAAATAGCGGCTCTCCTAGGTTCAAGCAGGGAGCCTCCCCCAGGCCTACCAGGGGACACTGCCAGGGCTTGAACCAGGGACCTTCTGCATGCAAAGCATATGCTCTGCCGCTGAGCTGCGGCCTTTGCTCTCTACTAATCTGAATCACTGCAATTAATTTGTTCAATCGCTCCCAGTGCAGAGAGGCAGGGAAATGTGTCCCCAACCCCAGCTGAAATATTTTTGAATTTCAAAACCTAGAAGAAGGTTAGGTAGGCCTTTTTTACGTTATGCCTTTGAATCATAGAACCGTAGAGTTGGGAGGGAATACGAGGGCCATCTGGTCCAGCCCCCTGCAGTGTTTGCCCAATATGGAGCTCGAACCCACAGCCCTGAGATTAAGAGTCTCATGCTTTACTGACTGAGCCTTGTCTATAATAAATCACTTTCATTTAAGGGTTGTGGCAGGATCGGGAAGACCCAACCAGTTTATTGGACTTTTAAATCAGCTATTCACAATCTGTGGTCCTGAGAAAGGAATGACTTAAGTAACTAAAGGTTCTTGTGAGTCCAGGGTGCATGCTATTCACAGAGGAGGCTGCCCACTGCATCTCTGAATGAGTCACTGCTCATCCAGGGAGAGGGCAGAGCACATGTTTCTGTCCCCAGCACCTCTAGGAAGGGCTAGGAAAGACCCTTGCCTGAGCTCAGGAGAGCCTCTTCCGGCTGTGGTAGATGATACTGACTTAGATGAACTAACCTGCTTTCCTGTGCCTCCTTCAGCTTCTGCTTGGGGAGGGCAACTTTGCCGCATCTCTGCATCAGCTGTGACAGGTTAATTCAATCGACCCCAGATGCAGGAAAACAATCAGCCTGCAGATAAGGTTGCCTGTTGTGTCTCTGCCTGAGTCCCTGCCCTTTCAGTCAGGGACAGTGGATGTCACGGGGTGGAAATTGGGTGGCAGAGAAATGAGCTCTAGCCCAATATTGTCTACTCCAGCTGGTAGCAGCTCTCCGGAGTTTCAGGCGGGGGACATTCCCATACCTACCTGGAGATGCTGGGGTTTGGATCTTGGCCCTTCTGCATGCAAAGCAGACATTTCACCACTGAGCTACAGCCTTGTGACTATACGGAATGTGCTAAACTCCACGGTGGGTTCCCCCCCATCGAAATAAAGTAACCAGTTGAAGTGCACTCCCCTCCCCCATCAATAATGTGTTGTTTGACCCTAAGAAACTCTGACTTGAGCCTCCTGTGGGGCTGCAGAATAACATATGTCACATTGCAAAGTTTCCCTTAAAATCGGGGGTGGAAGTGAGAGAGACCAAGCATTTACATCCGCAGCCTTTTACTGTCTGTGCGTACAGGGTTGCATTGCAAGGGAGAAAATGAGGACAGAATCCAGAGGTTTGATAAATATACACATCTCAGAATGCCTGCAATGTGTCCCTGTCACTGTGCCCGATTTCCTCTCCTCTCCTAGTAGAGTTCTTATGGGAAAGCAGACTTGAAAGACGTGACGGCTCCCGTTCCCCCTTCCTGAGAAGCAGATTGGCTTCCTTTAAGTAACACTCACTTAAGAAACCACCTTTTAGAGCACGGCGGACCTAAAATAGTCCTTGCGAAAATGAGCTGGAGCATAACATGAAGCACTGGAGGGCAGTTCCCGTCCAAATTACATTTAATATCCGAGCCTGTAAACAAGAGAGCCTGTCGGCCGAGCTGTCTGCGTGCCCCTGTCTCCAGTCCACCCCTTTTTCTCTTTCATTTTATCTCCTGCCGTGTAGATGCAGGCCTTAAAACAGTCAAATAGGTTTTGCTTCGTCCGACGGCAACCACAGTCCAGCTTTGATCAGAGCTGCTTTAAGGTTGCCCCCCCCCGCTGCTTTTACCCATCATCCAGAAATGCTGAGAGATCTGCATCCTCTGGGTTGGATGATGTAGAATAGGGTGCCAAGGGCTCCTTCCTACTCCCGGTGGTATGACATGTGTGTTGACAGAGTCTGAGCCTTCCTCGGGCCAACACTGGGGTACCCCTGTCATGATACCTCCTTTCCCTCAGTTAAAAGGTAAAGGTAAAGGTAAAGGTACCCCTGACCGTTAGGTCCAGTCGCGGACGACTTGGGTTGCGGCGCTCATCTCACACTATAGGCCGAGGGAGCCGCCGTTTGTCCGCAGACAGCTTCCGGGTCATGTGGCCAGCATGACTAAGCCACTTCTGGCAAACCAGAGCAGCGCACGGAAACGCTGTTTACCTTCCCGCCACAGCGGTACCTATTTACCTACTTGCACTTTGACGTGCTTTCGAACTGCTAGGTGGGCAGGAGCTGGGACAGAATAATGGGAGCTCACCCCGTCGCAGGCATTCGAACCGCCGACCTTCTGATCAGCCAGCCATCAGTTACTATATTGCAAAAACTCACGTTCAGTGCTTCCTTTTGAGTTTCAGAAGAAGTTTGCTATGTACCAGAAGAGTGGATTTTTAGGGTGGGGGGTGGGATCAAGCTGCAATCCAAGCAGGTCAGCCGAAGCCTAGTTGTATGACGATTGGCATTATAATAACCATTTATTGCAATATACATTGTCCTCTGTGCTAGAGATTAGCAAATTGGTCAATTTCAGCTTCTCTCGGTTTTTCTAGTCTCAAGATCAGTTGCCCACATTTCCACATCAGTTTGTGGTTTTCTTTGTTTTTAAGAAGTCCTCGTGAAAATTTAGCGTGAATTTCTCCTTTTAAACTCTTATCTGTACATAATCATGCTTAATGTGCACATTTCTCCAAGCAATTTCCGTTAATGTGCTGCATTTTTGTATGTTATTTTCACTAGTGTTTGCATTTCTCCTCCCCCCCCCTCCACGTTTCTTGTTGGGAGAGCTGCGTTGCAAAATTAGGAGATGTGCAAATTTTGAAGAATGGCTGCATTTTAGTTTGCAAATTGTTTCAGGAACTAGACTACCCTTTAATTGCAAACCAGACTGGGTTTCGCCAGGGCCACCCTCAGTATTCACATACACTGGATTTTTAAAGCAAAGCTTAGATAGGCATGTGCCGGCAAGAGATTCAAAACCTAAAATCAACAGTGGGTAATACAACTGGAGGAAGGTAACAAGGCCTTAGCTCAGGAGTAGAACCTTTCCTTGTTTTGCTTTCTGAAGGCCCCAGGTCCAATCCCTAGCATCTTCAGTTAAACAGATTGTGTAGCAACTGATGGGAAAGACCTCTGTCTCTTTGCCTGAGATTCTGGGGAGGAGATAGTGCTAGGTTAGATGGACAAATAATTTGATCTGGTATGAGGGGAGAGGCAGAACACATCCTTTGGGCATTTCAATCTGAGGTCGCCATGCTGAACACTGAAGCAGGGCAGCATTTATTTCAGTTTAGTTAATCCAGAATACGTCTTCCTCTTGCTCTGCCCATTATCGGCTCAGGCTCTGATTGTATAGCAAACAGAAGTTAGGGATCAAGCTGGTCTGCATTCAACACGTTGAACCAGGGATGGGGGACCTTAGGCCTGGGGGCCAAATGGGGTCTTCCAGTCCTCTCTGTTTGGTCGTCAGGACTCTCCCCAGGCTGCATGCCCTCTGAGCCACACCCCTGCCCTGCTTTGTACCCTCCTTGGGTATCTTTGCCTGCCTGGAAGGTGCCCTTGATTTCTGATTATGCTTCTTGCTTGCTAGATGGAGGACAGGAAGGAGTGTGTGTGAGAGTCAGTATAGGAAAAACCCTATTGTATAAAGGTAAAAATGTACACCTGTTGCTTTGCCCACTTTTGCCTCCAGCCCCACCCACCATTGCCGTGTGGCCCCCAAAGGGAGAACATCCCTTGGGATGAGAAAGGTTTCCCAGCCCTTGGAAGAGTTCAGTGCCTGGAAGGAAGGACTAAGGGAAGGTATCCCAAAGGAGGAGGGAGATTCTGAACCCCATGTTTCTTTTAATTTTTTTAATTACACTTAATATTTCACCCACCGTGGAACCCACAGTGGCACACACACACGGGATTTTCCATCCAGGCACTGACCATACCCAGACTTGCTAAGCTTTGGCAAGGTGGTGGCCTCCTGTGGCTTTTCCCCAGGACCTTTCTTGCCTTAAATACGAGACCACCAACTAGTTTCCCTTTCTGCATGACAGAGGCAAAGCTCCACCTTCAAACAGAAGGAGCCAGCCAGGCTCCTATTTAGGACCTTAGATGTATGCAAAGCATTGACACCACAATCTTCATTTTGAGCATTAACGTTGGGATGCTTAAGCGAATGTCCTCTAGAGGGTGGTGTTTTCTCAGCTTTTGCCACGGGTGCCTCAGAGAACCCCCTCTCCTCTCCTCGCACTGTATGTCTGTGTTAGGCCAATGGCCGATTTATGATGTATGAGGTAGCAATATTGTTTTATCTTGCTGTTCCACGATATGGGAAGGCCGTCACAGCCGCTTGTTGACTTCTTGTTTGAAATGTTCTCGGAGCTGTTGTTTATACGTTCCCCTCGGAAAGAATTTGCCTCAGCTATTTCTCCTTTTCAAATTCCAAATGACATATTTTTTTGTGGGGGGGAGGGAGGCGGGAAGAATTGCTCTTGATTGTCCAGCAAAATTTCAAATTGTCCTTGTGTGTATGTGTGAGAGAGACCTTTTCGCTAGGAGCTGATTCACATATTATGCAGGACAAGTCAGTAGAATTATGGGCTGCACCATTTCAAAGTGCAGGAGCTGTGTGTGAATGTCACATTTTGTTAATGCTGCTTCACATTGAAGAAAGGGGGAAAGTGTGTATCAGAGAGAGAGGTTTAACATACACACATTCCCTCCACTGTAAGAACATAAGAAGAGTCCTTCTGAATCAACCCAAAGGCCAGCATACTCTTCTTAGAATGGCCAAACAGATGCCCCAATGGGAAGCTTGCTACTAACCTAGTAACTGCACAGAGCTTTTTCTGTGGTAGCACATCTGCCTTGCATGCAGAAGTTCCCAGGTTTAATCCCTGACATCTCCACACAGGGCTAGGAGAGAATCCTGCAAGTCAGTGTAGGCAATACTAAGCTAGATGGACCAAGATCTGACTCAGTGTTCTTCAGTGACGGAGCTCATGTATTGCAGCAATTGAATAAATTCTGAGTTAAACTTGAACATACAGGTTTACTGTGACTTAATTTGTTCTGTGGCATCCTCTGCAATAAGTGAGAGAAAAGTCACTAGAAATGAGATTGGCAATATGGTGCCCTGAGCAGGGATAAAATTTGGCATACACCCCCGAAATATTTCTTATTTTCATAGCAATTCCTTTCAGTACAGGTTTTTTGGGGGAAGGGGGCTGTTCTCAGTAGGTACCTGTATACAGGTGTTGTTGTTGTTGGCATTCATCTGTCTCGAGAGACGATGGAGTGTGCCTCCGGGGGTGAAGTCAAACTGCTGCATTAGCAGCACCAAGGTGACCTCCT